CTAAGCATAAAACATTTGAAGGCCAGTAAGAAAGTATAACTTCACCTACAAATATTGAAACATACTGTTTTACCTAAAGAGGAGAAAAAAAATCAGAGTTTCTAACCCTTTGAAATGTACGGGGAAAATAACTAGATGGCTCACAAAAAAAGAAAAAAACAAACAAGATTTTCAGGTGATGACTCAAAAGTTTGGTCCCAACCAAATACTTATTGTTATTGAATAAATTATTCAATGTTAACAAATTAGTGTGCCATCTCTTGAAGCAAACTATTAATGTTATTAAATATTACTCAAGAGTTTTATATGTCAGTTCTTAAGATATTATGTGTTTTCTTTTTTGTTGTTGGTTTTTCCTATCACACGAAGCCTAATAAGAACCAGTGTTTCTCAAGAGGGAAGAAATTCCTTAGCATTTCCTTGTTGTGTATATCTACAAGTCTTTTAACGGACTAATTTTTTTGGAACAGGATTTGGCAACCTCTATACCACAATTGATCACATGTCTATCATTTCAACAGAAAGACTGTAAGAAGGTTAGTAAAGCCTTACTATATAGCATCTAACAATACAATTAACAGTTTTATATTTTAAAACATTGATGATGGTGATTATACAGGGAAATCTAACAGCTTGATGATTTAATTTGGTCATAACATAGTATTGTGTCATCATTTTATATTAGCAAGTTATATAAATGAGTTGGGTAAATATGAGTCAAAAAAAGGGGAAAGAAAGGAGAAAAATAATTTTATTCCAAAATCTGATTCCTGGTGTAGTCACCAGGAAATTTCAGTTGAAATGGATGCTTACTGTATGGTATATGATTTAAATGATTGCCTAAAACAGTATTTCCTAGCTCGTTTAAACATAGTAATTTATATGATTAGAGATCACAAATTATAAGAATTTGTGTAGTAATGAAGATGACCATGATTTAGACTGGAAAAAATATCCTTGGGGAAAAGATACAGGGAAATAAGAACATTTTTTATTCACATTGGGTTCCTTTGAAAGCAAGGATAAGGATAAAGAAGTAACAGAGCTTTTCTATACCAATAAATGTTATTCCATAAAGCAGTCACAATTGCTCCATTAAGATATATTCCATTTTGCTAACCCACAGGATTAAGCCTGTTGTGCTAGCAGTAACTGTCAATACTCACAGTGAGAAGCAGGTAAACACTTTAGTATCAATTAATTATAATGATTACACATTCTCATAAGTGATCACCACAAATCTAGGAGTACTGACATCACCTCTGGAGTAAGAATCTATAAATAGGTATATAGATTTATATAGAGAGAGACATAGGGGAGGAGGACTGGGGGTGGGGTGGGAGGAGGCTGGGAAGGGATGGGAAGGGGAAACAAAGGAGAAGGCTACAATGCTTGATAAGAAATGCACTCATTATCTTGCCCATGTAATTGTAACCCCTCTGTACAGTATTTTCACAATTTTTTTATATATCCACACAAAACGAAAATGCTGGTAAGAAGGGCATTGGTGAATAAGCCCTTACTAAAGTATGCACAGGCTGTAGGGTCATTATGGGGTGCTGGAAATTTCATGATCAAGATCAGAGTCCATATTTACTGGGAGGACCATTTGCAGATCTTTCTTATTATCACAGAGAAAGGAGGATCTGAGATCAAATACTAGTTGAATAGCAATTCAGTGTGGCATAACAGAAAAACAGGGATTCTTTCTTAGAGCACATGGAATAAAGCACATTCTTTCCTAGAGCACATCAGTAATAGAGTACAATGACTCAAATGAATATTAGACATAAGAATTACAAGTAGTCAAATGGCAGCACTGCTAACTTATGGAGAGATTAGTTTAAGCTGAAAACAGAAAATTATTTGTGGTAATACTTGAAGAAAATATTTCTCATCATCTAGCCACTAAAAATTTTAATATAATTCATGGTAATGCAATGGTATTTCTCTATAAAGCATTAAAGTGATATTTTAGAACCTCTATTCAAAATTTAGAGTTGATAGTGATAAATGGTTTATAGATAAATCTCCTTCCTCTTAACCAACAGCGAACACTTTTGATAAGATGGCTGGAGCTGAGGATGCAGCTGCACACAGACCAGATCAAAGCTAATTAGATTTTGTGGCAAACTGAACTCATGACCTAGACTTCCATAGTCATGATCTAACCTAATGTGCTAGAAGGGCACAGAACAAACATGCTGGCTCTAGCTGTTTTCATTAATGCATTCTTGTACTTCATTGTTCTTATAATTTTAAAGGATCAACTTTACAGATGGTACTTTCAAAGGTTTTAAAAATGAGTAAATTCATTCAACTTGTATCTCTCTTGGTGACCCCTAAGATCAGTAAGGAGACAGTTTAAGAATGTAACAAAAAAATAGGCCGATTTTAGAGTCAGAAGAAATGTAAACAACCCAAGTACAAAATTAAAAAGCATAATTAGTGTTTATTTAGAGCTTATTATTTCTCCAATGGAAAAGAAAACACTTCTGCTAAGCTAATTATCTCCATTTCACAGATTATAAAAGGTAAATACAAAGTCAGATCGTCAGAAGTTAGCAGAGCTAATCCTTCTTTTCACTATTAAAAAAGAAGGTACGCACAACTGTGACAAAGGCTATACAGTTAACTCCCTACATGCGCTCCATCCTTTCCCTAGCCACCATCTACCACACAGACATGACAGTTACAAACCCCCATTCTCAGGTTCCCCTGAAATCAAGCATTACTATGTGTCACAGGCAAAAAAGCAATAAAACTGGCAATATTAGTGACCTCTAGCAGTGTCTAGAAAGTTACTTATTTTCTGTGAAAACAGAAAGGTCAAAGTGGCAGGCATCTCTTTTATTTGGTATAAATCCCAGTAAGTAATTTGGATTTATGATAGAAAATACAAATTCAGGGTCCAGGATGATCTGATTCTATACAGAAAATGGGGTGAAAATATTCATAGTGTGCATAAACTATGCAGAGTTGTAGATTCATTAGAATAGCAGCAATTTATAGGCTTCTTTTAAGAGATAGTCACCTAAGTGTAAATAAAACAAAAGACATTCCCATTCAGGGAGGATTCTTTCTTTCTACTATTGAAAATATAAAAAATATAAAAACAGTAAAAACTAAGAGTTTGTTTGCTATGTCAGAGTTCTTTCTAGAGTAAAGATAAGCTAACTACAGAGAAGGAAAGATAGGGTCAGTCTTGAAAGATCACCCGAAACAGGTGATGGGGGCTGGCAACAAAGGGGAATGCCTGTCATAGTGTCCTCACAGAGGAAAGGGAGAGAAAAACTCACACGTCCAAAGCAACTCACCCATCCAAAGCACAGAGACAGTGAAATACAATATTTGAAGGAAACACCTGAAGTTGCTTATGTCTATAACTAGTGGAAAGTGAAGCTTAGAGGTAGGAAAGGGAAAAATGCCAAAGCAAGCAAGAGATGTAGTGTTGAGGCAGTGGTGGTATAAGCAGACTCAGTGACCCAAAGTATTAAGACCCAATTGCAAATGTCAAAGAAAAGGTTGCTTTTGTTTTTGTTTATTATGTACCAGGTTGAGTGTTAGGTACCTAAATATTATAACATATATCACAACAACTCAACAAGATTATCTTCTCCCCTCTTTCCATGAAAACAAAATAATAGGGAGCTTACAATATTAAAGTAAAATGATCACTACAATTATAAAATAAATACATAGTTAAACCAAGATCCTGGTAATCTTCCTTCTCCTACTACTACCTACTAATAAGATATCCTATGTCATGTATTCTTGGGATAAATGGCATTACCTATGGAAAGAGTAGGTACAGAATAAAGAAAGCAGAATTACCCTGGGTTACTACACCAATACTAAAGGAAGGTAAGTAGAAGATTCAGTGAGAGAATTTTGATTCATTCAGGTAAATCCAAAAAGCTAGAAGTTACAAACAAAACACAAGTTGAAAAAACTTCTGAAGACTTGCAATAATTCTTAGTCACTTTATTTTTAGTAACATCCAGATTCTTTATCTCAAGTGTCTTAAAAGTCCCCAAATTTACAAATCTACATTAACAGTGATACAAAGGAGGTAAGTTAATAGAGGGATGTATATCAAGATTGGAAAATAAGACTTACTGCATTTACTCACTTTTATAAAAAAGTATCTAAGTTAGAAAATATGTGGGAAAAACCAAAACTCCTCATATACTAGTTTATACTAATTTACATAACTATCCATACAAATTCCAGTTACATATTTAAAAAATGGGTTTTGTAGCTGGACACTAGTAGCTCACATTTAATCCTAGTTATTCAGGAGGCTAAGATCTGAGGATCTCAGTTCAAAGCCATCCTAGGCAGGAACATCTGTGAGACTCTTATCTCAATAAATTACCCCACCCAGCAAAAAAAAAAAAAGCCAGAAATGGAGCTATGGTTCAAGTGGTAAAACATTAGCCTCAGACACAGTGCCCAGGCCCTGAGTTCAAGCCCCAGGACTGCACTCAAAAAGAAAAGCTTCACAACACATTATTAAAATTTAGAAATCATGACATAAAATATGTTTTTCTTAGTCTAAGGATGTCTACTAAAGGGTACATAATTATAATAATTTATAATACTTCAAGAAAAATAAGCATAATTAACAAACACAGACAAAGCTTTCAAATTTTCAGTTTGATTTCAATAACTGCTCTAGTAAGAAATAACTGACTCAGAAGACTAAATTCTGAGAATTGAGGTGTAAAAGTCAACGCAGGCAGATAAATCGAAGAGACATGCATCATTAATTAGCCAGAAAAAAGCCAGAAGAGGCGATAGGGCTTATGTGGCAGAACTCCAGCCATAGGTGAAAAGACCAAATCAAAGAACGAAGCCCAAAATTCAAGCCCAATGACTACAACATCGCCATCATGACCAACAACAATGAAAACAACAAGGAAGCAATCTGGGACCAGAGGGGTATATTGTTTCTCTCTTAAGGAGGGAATGGAAGAGGCCTACGCATACAAACTTACATTGCTCCATTGGTGTAGACAGTATCGCTTCCTTCCACATACTGCACCTGAGCTGGATAGACATGTTGTACCTGCTGCACAGTCTGTACCTGCTGTACCTGAAAAACAAATGTCAAGACTATAGTAAGAGGCAGGCAATATACAGAAACAATACACAGAACTAGATTTACCAATAGGTTTTTCCATAGCATATAAGTATACAAATGGCCCACAATGAAGACTATGAAGTTCATGCTTATTTCAAGACAAGCAGAGATTGGGTCTAGATCAACTGTAGCATTTGTTTTAAATCAGTTCCATAGTAGTCTTACAGGCATGTATGGATCTGTAAGCTTAAAAATGTTCTAGTTTAAAATCATGAAACTTGCTCATTCATTTCATAATTTATGAAATCCTACTCCATTTTATTTCGTAAGACTAGATTCATTTTTTAATTGAACAAAACCATAATGAAAAGTTACAAAAACTCAAACATGGAGAAATAGTTTATTCCATTCTTGAATGCATTCAACTTTTTGTCCAAGATAAATTAATGGTCACCAGCTCCCTCCTGTTTAGTTAAATTCAGTTCCAAAGATAATATAAACATCTCAATTTGTTGTGTCTAAAAGGTAAGACTTATTTTCTGTGAGTGTCGCAGTTGAGGAGTGAACTGAGGACCTCACATTCACTATGTAGGTGCTCTACAACTTGAACCATGTTTCAGCATTTTTGCACTATTTTCTGGACAGTGTCTTACTTTATGCTTGTGGCTGGCCTTTGGTATTTGTCTTTCTACCTATGCTGTCCTCCAATGACACAAGCCACTGAAACCATCCATTGTAGTTGGGCTAACAGGCATGGGCCACCATTCCCAGCTATTAGATGATCAGCTATAGTCTCAATTACTTTATGCTTCAAATTGCAGCCCCCATATCTCTCTCTACCACGCAATCCAGCCTTGCGCCAATAGTCAAGAACTGCTTTTAAAATGAGTTTAAAATACAAACCACACATAAAAAAATCAACAAGTGCTAAATATCCTCTGAAATTCAGTCACTAATCAAATTTCTGTCATCATTCCAATAACTTTGTAAGATTGATTTGTTCAATTTAGAGTCTTAACAAGGTCTACACAAAACATATGATTAATATTTTCTTCCCTTTTAATCTCAAACCCTGTCCCATTCTTTTTTATTTTTTTGCACCTTAGTTCTTGAAGAAACTGGATCATCTACTTAAATCAACCACTAGAATTCTAGATTTGGGTAGTAACATCACTAGACTGTTATTTAACATGTCATTCGAATCTCCCTCCCCCCCTTCACCCCAAAAAAGGCAGTGTTAAAATTGATCTAAAGGGTCAATTGGAAGTTCTTAGCTGGATTCATCTAATTAATTCTTCTAATTAATGGTTTATAAGAGAATACTAATAGTCATCAAAATGTATTTTCTAAAGATATTTTGATAAAAAAAACCTTAAGGTGTCCTAATTCTAATCCTGTTTTAAGTTAGTAGCTTCTTATAAGGAACAAGTTCCTTCAATTACTTAGTTACTTTAAAATATGAGCATATAGAAAGACTAGGACAAATAATGATTCTTTTATTTTTCTATGGTGACTTTATGTCTTTCTCTGCAAAGAAGACCAATATGCTTTTATTTTATTTTAATGAAAGAAGCTGCAGGTGGAGTTTAAGTGGGAGAATATCTGCTTAGCAAGTAAGGCCCTGAGTTCAAATACTTTTCCAGCAGACATCCACTAAAGATTGTGAGAGATGTTCTGCTGAACAAAATAGTATCAGATGACAATTGGGTTTATTCTGTTTAAATTACTAAATTTAATTTCTCTCTACTCAGTATCTAGACATTTATGAATATTTTCAAACATACCCTTCTCTACTCCCTTGTAATCAACCATTAAATTTTTGCATGTTCATGTTACCTTCTCATATGGCTAACTGGTTTTCTCTACCTAATTTCTCTCCTCAACTAATCTACTACTTCCTTCCAGGCCTGATTAAAAATTTAGTTTCTTTGGCAAGGGGTGTAGCTCAGTGGCAGTCCACTTGTATTAGCACTCACAAGGTACAGGGTTTGATTTTTAGTTTCTCTCAGAAGGTCTTCAGCAACTCATTATCCCATTTGAGACTATCCTGTCTTAGAGTACCCAGGACTCATCAATCCTAACTTATATTCCCATACAGTAGGCAAAATACATTAATTTGGAAATAGCATAATTAGTTTTAAATCCTGTGAGATACTGGCTATTTATATATTAGTGTGGTCAGTTTCTTTCTTTTCTTTTCTTTTCTTTTTTTGTCAGTCCTGGGGCTTGAACCCTGGGCTTGGGCGCCGCCCCTCAGCTCTTCAGCTCAAGGCAAGAGTTCTACTGCTTGAGCCACAGCACCATTTCTGGTTTTCCAGTGGTTTATTGGAGATAAGAGTCTCAAGGATTTTCCTGCATGGACTGACTTTGAACCATGATCCTCAGATCTCAGCCTCCTGAGTAGCTAGGATTACAAGTGTGAGCCACTGACGCCTGGCTAGTTTCTTTCTTTAAGTAATAATGCCCTTTGCATAACATAAGAACATCTAATGAGGGTCTTTTTCTGGAGATATAAAGCAATTGCATATAGATAAAAGCATATTTCTGCCTACATGATAACCACAGTAAACAATGAATAATTGGTAAAACTGTCTATTAAATGCCTAAAAAAATAAGTAATGCGGGCTGGGAAGCTGGCTCAGTGGTAGAGCACTTGCCTTGCATGCATGAGGCCCTGGGTTCGATTCCTCAGCACCACATAAGCAAAAAGAAAAAAGCCGGAAATGGCGCTGTGGCTCAAGTGGTAGAATGCTAGCCTTGAGCTGAAGAGCTGAGGGACAGCGCCCAGGCCCAGAGTTCAGGCCCCATGACCAGAACCCCTCCCCCCCAAAAAAGTAATGTCTTTATATCTGTGCAAATGTCATCTTTATATTCTAATTGGTTTAACCCATACACATCAAGGATCCTTTAAAATAAGCTGGGTGCTGGTGGCTCATGCCTGTAATCATAGCTACTCAGGAGGCTGAGATCTGAGGATCATGGTTCAAAGCCAGTCTAGGCAAGAAAATCCATGAGACTCTTATCTCCAATAAACCATCAGAAAACCGGAAGTGGCACTGTGGCTCAAGTGGTAGAGTGCTAGCCTTGAGCTGAAGAGCTGAGGGACAGGTCCCAGGCCCAGAGTTCAAGCACCACAACCAACAACAACAACCAACAAAAAATAATAATGTAATTCTATAATTAAAGTTAAAATCAAACAGAAAAATGTGCAGAAAGGAAATATGGAAAGGAAAATTGGAAAGGAAATATGAGGAGATGTAGGCTAATTTATTAAGGACAGCAAATATGAGGAGATGTAGGCTAATTTATTAAGGACAGCAATATTTAATTACAACCCTGTCAAATGGAGACTGTGTAGTTAGTGTAAAAACAAGGCAAGATTCTTCACATAATCTACAAAAGTAATAAAGTAAATAGAAGACAAAATTAAATAACTAAACACTAAATTACAATTTTAATTATTATATAGCCCTTTTTTTCTGCCAATCATTAAAAAAACTGGACTTAAGATGGTCTTTTTTGTTGTTGGTGGTGGTGGTGGTTATGGTGCTTGACTGAGGGCCTTGGTGCTGGCCCCGAACTCTTTTGCTCTACCACTTTGAGCCACAGCTCCAATTCCTTCTGCCTGGGATGGCTCTGAGCCGCGATCCTCAGCTCTCTGCTTCATGAGCAGCTAGGAGTACAGGCAGGAACTACCAATGCCTAGATTAAGATGATCTTAATACAATTTAGGTGAGGAATGAACATGTACATATATTTTATAGTTTGAAAAGACATTTTTTTTAAAGGCATGAAGAGGGAGGAAGCAGAAAAGAGAGACTGAAAGGACAGGAAAGGAAAAAAGAAAAAAAACAAATATATCTATTTTATGTACGTATGTCTCATCTCACCAATGAGAAATTCAGATTTTGAAAGAAAAATCCTTATTTTTCAACTTCGCCATTGGATTTGGTTTGTTTGGCAGTGTTGCCATGTTTATTAGTAAGATAAATTGGAAAGCTATAGAATTGATGCCTTGTACCTCAAATTCAAGTCAGTCAGTTCCAAGAAGATCTCTGTATACAGAGAGAATTAATCTGGAGTTATAATTCAAGTCATATAAGGGAAAACAAAAATGCTATAATTATAGCCCTTCTCTGTAAGCAGTAATACACATAGAGAGGTAATTTTTATTTTTGCTTTTTTAATTGTTGTTGGTTGTGGGACTTGAACTCTGGTCCTGGGTGCTATCCCTGAGTTCTTCAGCTTAAGGGAAACACTCTACCACTTGAGCCACAGCGCCACTTCCAGTTTTCTGGTGGTTAATTGGAGATAAGAGTCTCATGGACTTTGTTGCCCGGGTTGGCTTTGAACTGTGATCCTCAGATCGCAGCTTCCTGGGTAGCTAGGATTACAAGGCATGAACCACCAGTGCCCGGCTTTTTTTACATATTATTATATTACAGAAGTCCAGTGCAGGGTAAAAATGGTGGAAATATTTCATAATTGCCTAGTGATTAATTATTAGTGCACCAATTAAAAGAAACATCCAGTGAATATTTATAAAATTTGTAATATCTTCTAATATAAATAAGTGTCTCCTAAGAAACTTAATGAACTCAGCAAGAAATACCTATTATTCCAAAGTGAACTGTTAATACTATTTAATGTAGCATTAAAAACCACAGGTGTAATTCCCTGCTAGTTTCTGTTTTTAATAGCTGTGACTAAATATATTCAAATATTACTTAATATTATAATATAAAACATTAATTTCTGCTCAAGTATTTCCTGAATTCTTACAGATTACAAACATTTTATTTTAATTGTCATTAACTTGGTGCAAGTACTATTTGGTAAGGCTATTTGGGAAACTATCAGCTCAAAGACATTTCACTACCATTCCACAAAACTTAATTTCCTACCTATCCTTGTAAAATTTTAAATTGAAACATTGTTGCTATTCACTACATCTGGGCCTTTAAAATAAAGTCTATAAAACTAAATTTATCTCTTCATTTCACTGTCATCTC